CTCCATCACCTGCGGGCTTTCACATTGTGTAGTTAATGCAGCCCTACTTCAAACCAGCACACACATTTATTATAGTCTTTATAAATAAGTTTAAAAGCCTAAGTTCACCAGTTTTCAACCGACTTTGTATTGTTACAATGTTGGTAGTATAAGTAAATGAACAATGCGAGTTATTTTTCTGTTACCTGTGCCAAGTCTTTATTTGTAAAACATGTCATCCAGCGGATTTTTTTCATCTCCGGGGCTCTCGGTAAAATGGATAGTCTGATCAAGCCCAGTGCATTTTTTCCCGCTAGTTGTGGAGCACAGATTTAAAAATCTAAATGTAAGTAAGTGATGTAAAAGTAACTTATTTTAGACACCACAAATGGGTAGGGGAATTATTCCCTAAATTATACAAGTGCCAAGATATCTCCAAAAACATCACGTCAACATATTCTGCAATCAATGCTAGTTAATCTACAATTTTTAAACCGTATTTTGCTATATCCTTTATAATTGTTATGGATGAAGCTTTATGACCTCATATTAATTATGAGACTATAGAGTGCTGTAGCCATGATGTCAAAACCCAGAAGACTAATTTGGAATCCCTTGAGATCTTGCAATGGGTTTAACTTTTTATAATGGAATTTTTCAATTAATGAGTGGAATAAGGTCTGTGGTAAACAAAACTTGAGGATACTTGGCCATCCGGATTTAAAAATAAACATAACTGCTTCAAAATTCACATTTTCAGTATGGGTGAATGTCATTTATTTTATAGAGAAAAACGTTGAAATATCATCAACTTATATTTAGGCTACCACAGACCTTGTTTTACTCATAAAGTGAAAAACACCATTAAAAAACCAATAGAGAAATCTCAAGGGAACCCATGGCTTTCGGCTTTTGACGTCACAGCTGCAGCACTTTATAAGAAATTGTGATCTACTGACCTAAACCACAATTTAAAAATAAATAAATAAATAATCATGACAGCTCAATCTGCAAGATGCTCATTCTACAAAACACACTAAGAGTGGGTTTATGCCTGCAAGATGATCAAATAAAAACGGTGTACTCTGGACTGTAATCTGAAAGAGAATAATTAAAACACAAGTGACCCAAAACACTGAGCCTAATGTTGATTCTTCAAACAACTGCTTGAGTAAATCAAAGCCTGTCACTATCTTCTCTATGCTTGATGAACGCCTCAATGTTAAAGCAACTTCCTGGCCATCAATACACTTAAAAAGATCACTTTATGCTGATCTTTGGTAATGACTTTAGCCGTGCATAGTACGAGAAAGCTTTTGAAGCAAAGATCAGTGCACTCTGCACATTGAAGCCATATGCATTTAAGCAATGTCTATGAAATTATCTGCATACAATATCGTTCAGTTATATAAACTATGGGAATGTCAAAACCTATCTTGAAAGCACATTACATTTAAAACTCAATGCAATGAATGAAAAGAACAAAACTGTCTACAAGCTTCCAATAACAGGCAGTATATGCTGCAAACAGTCCATCAAAGAATATTTTGTAGCACAAGAATTTTAAGAAAACCAGACTTTTCTGCTGAACTCATTTCACATGTGAAATCTCAACAGAAATGACCAATATCATTTAGCAATTTAAGCCCCCCACAATACAGAAATACAGAGCACAAATTCTGAGTATGGGTCACCATACTTGGCCATACATCACTTCACTTCAAACCAGCACACACATTTATTATAGTCTTTATATTATACTAAATATAAAGTATTTTAGGTACTAAAAAAATCACTTCGTATGCACATCAACTGTCTAATTGTCTAAATGAAGAAATCAGAGAAATAGCTCAAGGCGTTTAGTCAAATCACAGGCCTTGTGGCCATTTAACTGTCATAAAACTTAGTCCAGTTAACAGCCCACAATCACTCCCAGCGTTTCACGAAATAGCGCGTGAATGAAATCACCGCAAACTTACGTGAAAACGAAGAATAAAGTAGTGGATCCCACCAGAAGAGTGGCGGCAGTGGACACCGGGATGTATTTGGTGGGTTTAAATCTTTTTCCAACGCTGTTGGGCATTCTGTAAATCCCACATTCCTCGTTTATTTGATCCCTGTCGTTAGCTGCACGCAAACACGAACACAAATCCTGCACCGTTCAGCGCGTAACGTTACCGGCTAAACGCTCATTCGCTCCGTCACATACACCGTTAAATCGTGATCCTTGAATACGCGATCGGGAATACGAGGCTGAAAATCCCACCCAGCTCAATTCAGCCCACTGCTGAGGTCACTGCGATGCTTGAAAGGTGGAGCCAGCCTCCACTAAGCAAATAGAGGCGGCGACACACGCGTGCTCCATCAGTGGGGCCTTGACTTGACGCGTCTTGAGGTTCGCAAGCGGCGGAAAGAGACTTGGGCTTTTTGCTATGGAGCAATAACACTCGGGGTGGTGTTGAGACACACACACACCTCTTCTTACTCAAAGGCAAATCATGAATGAAACCTACCTTGTTTAAAATCATATTAGTCGAATATTAAAACAGATTGAGATTTGAGAGATTAAGTTTGGAGGACACTGCCCACTGAACAACCAAAGTTTCAGTGGGTTTGTGATGTGATGTGGGCATCATGTGACCTCTAGTGGCAGATTTGGAGAATCATCCAGTTTGCTCCACGCAGACTCTTGATTTCTTATAAACATTTTTGCACGTGTGGCGTAAATAGTCGCGTGACCAGAATTGCCCTTGTAATATTTTTCATCTTTATTTTATCCTTCCTAATAATTTTTTATTCAACGGTGTTACGTCAAATTATGCGTTCCTTTAATCGTTGTTCAGACAATAAACTGGACAAAACAACGTTCACATGAACTAATTAAAAGAAATAAGTGAATGTAACTAAAGGAATTTGTGTCGTAAAGCTTATTCCTCTGAACAGCTTCGATCAGCGTTTCACAAAATACCGCGTGGAAACAAATGTTACAAGTAGGACAGTCATACACTTTCTAGTAACTATTATGAAGTTACTTAATTATTGCGCAGCCAATAAACTGGACAAACCACAACGTGCGCAATAAACAAGAATGTATATATGCAGCAGTATTTGAAAGCCTCCAGCAAATGTACAGTTAAGCTGTCTACTGAACAAAACACATTTTTATGTAAAGTATTAAAGGGGTCATATGATGCGATTTCAATTTTTCCGTTCTCTTTGGAATGTTACAAGCTCTTGGTGCATAAAGAAGATCTGTAAAGTTGCAAAGACTAAAGTCTCAAATCCAAAGAGATATTCTTTATAAAAGTTAAGAGTCAGCCACACCTACCTAAAACAGCTCGTTCTAACACGCCCCCACATATCTACGTCGCTCTGTGGGAAGATTTGCATAACGCCGCCCAAATGTTCACGCAAAGAAAGAAGGCGTAACTTTTATTCTCACTGTAGTATTGTTGCCGCTGCCATATCCTGAAGACGCTGTGTGCTTCGTTGTGAAAGCGAAACTACTTTGTTTGGTCTTCCAAAAGAGGACGATATCCGCTTCGTCATGCCTAGAGCTGATCCTTGCTGGTCGCTGAGGAAATACAACAGTATGTGAGGCGTAATATTTCCGTCTCACGCTTGAAGTATTCGGCCAATCACAACGCACTGGATAGCTGGCCAATCACAGCACACCTCGCTTTTTCAGACCGATGAGCTTTGTAAAAATCGACGCATTTCAAAAAGGCAGGGCATAGAGGAGAAACAATAATGTACAGTATGTGGAAAATAATGTGTTTTTTTTTTTACTTTAAACCGCATAAACACATTTCATTACACCAAATATACAAAATAATGTTCTTTTTAGCAGCATCATATGACCCCTTTAATCTCTAAAAACTTTATTGAGGTTGTTTGATATGAACGGTATTATAAAGTGAAAACTAATGCTTCTTTTTTGTCGCAGTACTTATCCTGACTATTTTCAAAGTTTGCTTCTTCAACATTCAACAATGCAAATGTAGGCTATTCCTTGTCTGTAGTTTAGCTGCCTGTTTGGCATTGTAAATTTACAGTGCTCTTTCATGCTAATAATACATAACTAAATTGGGAAATGTAACGTTAGTTAGTTAGAACGCGATCGCAAAATCACGTTCAGGGGACATCGTTTTGTAACACTGCAACAGCTTTCTTTAAAAACATGACCTAATTAGTACATCAAACATCACTTACATGATTAGTTCTAGATTTAGAAATTAATCAATAAAAATGTGACGACATTGTAAGTTCTATGGAGTTTATAAATCTCCATGTATTCACTGGTTAAACGTCGACCAACAGCGATATAAGAACGATTTTTATTTTAAGGACTTTTATTTTGAAATGACGTCTGATCGAGCACACCGGATATCCACGCAGATAGATGTGACGCTTTGAGCTGGAGCTGTTGAACATCTGTTGAAAGATTCAGTGGAGAGGTGACATTTTTATCACTTGATTTTTCAATAAACATGATTTTTTATTCCGTGTTGTTAAGATGAACAATGTCATTTGCCATTTAAAGGCAAGAAAGCTAACTTTTTTCTTAGTTTCCACTTCATTGTGGTTTTCTGCCTCATATTTAGTAACAGTCAACAAAATTGTGCTTTTTTTTTTATTGATGTCTGTCTTTTACTAAAATCATTTGCAGATGATGAAAACTGTTGTTGTTCGTCGTGTTGTGTTTAATAAAGATGTTGAGCTCACTGAAACAGGCAGCATTAGCCAGGTCGCTAATACTGTATCTTACAGATAGACAGCAGCATATGTAACGAGCCTAAAATTTATTACAGAATACAGGCCCTCATAGACAGTGAATCTGTCAATCAAAATAGTAACAACTACGACTAAGCATAAACCAGAACTAATAACATCTCTCAAACCACCATTTAATTATGGTTTACACAATGCAGACAAATAAAATGATTAAATATGTCTCATTAGTTGTTATTTCCATTGGCCATCTTCCTCAGGGCAAGTCTGTGCCTACCTGGGCAGGTGAAATGGCGTGTGCAAAAGTGCCTTTAGATGAACTGCATGTGACTGAGCCCTTTGGACCACAAGGCAAAGAACGCACCCTACCAGCACTGGTGAGTGAATATTTCACTTTGTCTTTTTCCTGCATAATTAACTAGAGTACATCTGAACCATCACTATAGTTCAGTACTTCTATGAGCTACATGAATGATGATGCCACCTTAATGTCTCCCATCAGCACCCTGACCGTAAAGAAGAGAGGCGTTTCTTAACCTATAAACCCCCACCTGAGGATGGCACACCTGTGCTGGTGGAGGAGTTTCTGGAGCATGCTCAGTTCATCTCAGAGGATCTGGAGTGGCTGCTGGCTTTACCTCATGACAAGTTCTGGTGTCAGGTTAGACTCTCTAAAATACAAAAGTTGTTTATGGAGATTTGAGTAAAATGAAGTTATACTTCTCTTGATGAAGAAAATAAATCTGCTAGTAATGAAGATACAGTACAACAAAATAATAATGTTGTTTTTCGACCATTACATTATATAATATGACATGCGGCCAGGCAGTTGTCATTGTTTCTTTTTTATTCTTTCTCCATTTAGGTGGTATTTGATGAGTCATTACAGAGGTGTTTGGACTCTTATTTGAGACACGCTCCGCGTGGTTTGGACCCGTCTGGTCTCTCGTCCAGTCCAGCTGTAGCTGACATGCAGAGGAACATTCATCGCTTTGTGTTCATGGTCTTCCTCAGGATGGTTACGCACAAAGAGTCTAAGGTAAACATACACTCCTGAACGCCCATAAACTCTTTTTTTAAATAAATTATATTGTTTAACTAACTATATTATTTTTTAAAGATTTATAATCATTGTACAGTGTGGGTTTGGACAGGCTATAAGTCCTACAGTAGATACTGTTCAAACGTTTAGGGTCAGTAAGATGTTTTTGAAGGAAGTCTCTTATACTCACCAAGACTTAAAATATATGAATAGATTTTAAAATGTTATTTATTCCTTTGATGGCAAAGCTGAATTTTCAGCAGCCTTCAGTGTCAAATCATCCTTCAGGAATAATTCTAATATGCTGATTAGTGCCCAAGTAACATTGAAAACAGTTGTGCTGGTTAATATTTTTGTTGAAACCATGATACATCTTTAGGATTTTTTGATAAATAAAAAAAAGTTTAAGAGAACAGCTTTTATTTCAAATATAAATCTTCTGTAACATTATAAAAAAATCTTTACTGTCACTTTTGATCAATTTAATGCATCCTTGCTGAATGAAAGCATTCATTCTTTCCAAAGAAAACTATTACTGACCCCAAACTTTTTATAATTACTATAAATGTAAGCTGGTGGTTTTGTATGAAATGACATTAAATTCATATGATTGCAATATATTTGGTATTCAGTGGGATTCAAAATCATTAGTTTTTTCCTCAGGAGAACTTCATAACCCCTGTAGTGTTTGCAGAGATTATTTACAACAACTATCTATTTGACATTCCCAAAATTCTGGATCTGTGTGTGCTGTTTGGGAAAGGAAATTCCCAACTGCTACATAAAATGATCGGTACACAAAATCTTATAGTATTATAGTACATATATATAATTCACAAAAAATACATAAATACCTCATGAACCCATCTGATTTTTTAAATCACTCACAATGGTTTCCATATTTAAAACTAAAATTGCATACTTTTCACTTTTTCCAGAGAACATTTTTACTCAACAGCCCAGTTATTATGGAGACCTAAATGAGACTACCTTCAATCATCCAGGTAGTTATTGTTATCATGAGATGTTTCTAAATGTGTTGATTCATCAAATTGTGCCGAACTTCCAGAAAATCTGTGTGTGTGTGTGTGTGTGTACATTCTAGGTGTTTGATATGATATTACAGAAGTGTGGTATTCAGTCAGAGGACACAGGAAACGGTCAACCCCTCAAACTGAATGCAAACAAATGCCTAACTGCCATGGCCATGCCAGAGGAGGTAACCAAAATGAAACTTTCTTAACCATTTTTACAAATACAGAGACACATACTTTAAATCACACAGTGTCCTAAAAGGCAGAAATAATATGCTTATATTTATATATGTATTATGTCTCATAGGAGCTAGAAGACTTGGTTTTGTACATGTGTGATACTTGCACTACTATCCACTCTTTCCTGGACACCTTCCCTGAGGCTTGTTCTACCTTCAAACAACAGGTGTTTCTTAACAGGTGACCAATACAGTACACCCACACCATCCAAACTATGATTCACACAGTGTCCTCAAGGGCAGAATTTCATACCTGATATTCCTGATACAAAAACAATGAATGATGCATCTCTTAATGTAGATTATCGTCATTCTATGAAATGGCAGTTCCAGACCTGGAGAAAGCAGTGAAGAAGAGAAATTTCAATAAAAGGTTAGAATGGCAAACTTGATTGACGTGTTCTCTTACACTCAACACATTTTTTCGTGATAGATGCACTAGATGCAATCTGTCTCAGTTTACAGGAGGACATGTGGAGACGAATATCTCATTCAAGAAAGAAAATGGTAGAGAGTGTTCACCTGTTGCTCCAACACACGTTTACAGCCCATTCTGGAGGGGTGAGGAAAAAATACATGCTTTTAAACCACATTAAATAAGCAAAGATGGGATCGTATATCAGATATCTTTGATCTTAAGTTTCATCGATTTTCACAGCTCTGAAAACATGGTATCCTACATAGAAGATCTTCTACAGAACTTCACAGCTTTCCTTCAAGAGAAAAGGTAAATCATGCAGAAATGTCTCTGCAAGGTCATGGTTGTATATGTAATCTATCACAGCCAATGACTAAATTGCATTCTCCTTGCACTGTTTGTCTCTTTATCTCTCAGATTCCTGGCAGATTATGATGAACAGTTCCCTATAGCGGATGACATCAGTCTCCTTCAGCAGGCCTTCCCTCATTTGTATCTTTTACTGTGGTCCAGTGGAACACTATATGATGATTTCGAAAGGAATAAAAGGGAAAGCATTCTGCCATCTTTCAAGCTTCTATAAGAGAAGATGACCTCAATGATTCAAGAAATAACCTGTCCTAATTTCTAATTGTTTTCCTACACATATACTATATACTACACTAATACATAATTAGTGGTGCACTGATACCAATACTGGTGCTCATTTCCTCTAATAACAATATCCGATACCTACCATGCATGCACAAAGTTCATTTCATTAACGTTGTCATGCAAAGAAACACCGGCAGCAGAACATTATGCTGTCAATCATTGCCAATTTAGGCTGTTGTGCAAGTAGAGAACCGCAAAGCACATTCTGCCTTTATCTTTAAAATCTTGCCTTGTCACAGAGAATCAGAATAATGCCTCTTTTCTAAATTTTTAAGCTCCTCTCTATGATTTTCTGCTATTCTCCTTGATCTGTCCACTCAGAGACGACACCAGGACGTCTTACCTGTTGCAGGGTGTAGAGTCCTCTTGGGAGTGTGTGGGGAAAAAGAGAAGCTTCCCCTCTTCAGCCAATCACAGCGCAGGAGCCAAGAGCAAGACTGGCAGAGATTTAGCAGTTTCCCAGAAGGAAGGAGCAGGAGTGTTGGAAGACAGAGAGGAGTTGAGAGGAGCGGAAGCTATGACTGACATATCCCGTAAGGGTGACAACGTGAGTTCATTAGCTGCTAAAAATATCTACAAAAGTGTTACAAATGTGTTTTTATCACCCTCTGGTAAAATTAAGGTTTATTTTTATCTTACCCTCTTATTTTTGGGGCCTGTAGGGGGCAGTGTGCACATTGAATGCTGGAGAACTGGAGTCTCTGCTGTCCCATATCCGTGACCTGTTTCCGGACTTGGGAGAGGGATTCATACTGGCATGTTTGGAGGAGTACGGCTACATTTCTGAACTTGTCATCAACAACATTCTGGAAGATAAACTGTCTCCTTCTCTTGACAAACTGGACAGGGCAATGGCAAGGTGAAGTCCAACTGAAGTGACTTGCTAGCTAGGATTTATGGTTCAGTTCAGGTCCACTTCATTGTTGCTTACTGACTAATGTTTCCTTGTAGGCCTGTGAAGAATGAGCTTCCATCAGTTTTGAGCACCAGATCAAACGTGTTTGACGATGACGAGTTTGACATGTTCAAGCGTGACCGACTAGACATGAGTCGCGTTTGGAAAGGCCGGAGGTGATCGCAAGTTAAAATTCCACTTAAAAAGCATTACCCTATCCTGCCCTGCAGTACATTACTCTAATTTTAGTCTGATTAGTCAAACAAGCTGCTAAATATTCATGCTAATCCACTTGGTCAAAAGAAAATAGTCTTTGACAAGTACAGCGTAAACTGACATCAGAGAACCACATGAAAATGGGCTTATGAAATATTCAGCTGAAGCTGTAAAAGATGGTTTGTGTCAGCTAGAAATGAATATCTCTGCGTATTTCAGAGGGGGAGAGTGTGTGTGCCACGCTCAATGACAAGCAGCACATAGAAGAGCAGAGAGCGAGATATCAAGCCTACCAGACAGTGGTGGATAAGATTCCCATAGCGAATGACCCCTCTGGAGATCGTGATAATGCTTTCGGGATGGATGATTATGATGATGAATATGATGACACGTATGATACCAACCAAATAGGAGCCAATGATTTAGATGAAGAGGATGAACTATTGAACCGCAGGTATGAGCTGTGACAAATGTACATAAACTTGCATCTCCCTCCAATGTGGCTGATCAGTATGGGTTTTCAAAGACCATTTTGTTTAATTTTTTTACATCTTTGAATGGGGGAACGGGAAATGCATTGCAAATATTTAATTTATATTAGGGCTGTTCTATTAATCAAAATAAAACCAAAATCGCAATATGGCTTATCGGTTTTCCCTCAAAAAAAGGGAAAATGAAAATGAAGAATATAGTCATAAATATTAGTATTTTTTATAGTAATAATAATGATTATTATTGCAATCATATTGATATATACGTCTAAGCTAACATTTAAGTATTTTTCCTTTAGGCCGTTTACTACCCCACAAGTTCTCAGAACAGGCAAACAGGCTCAGGAGAATGACGAAGACAAGGATGAGGAGGAAGAGGACAAGGTTTGAATGAATCACTTTCTCTTTTTTGTTTTAAATGAATTTTGGTCCCTTACGCAGGTCTTTTGTTTTGTTATAGATCACATGGCGCTTTCAGTACCTGCCCTTTTTCTTTTTCTCTTTCCCTGTTAATAGAAATTAGACGGATTTGAAACAAATCACAATTTCAGGTTCTCCGATTATGCACATTTCTGTTTATTTACGATGCTCTTGTGTTATTTTGATCAGAATGAGGCTGTGAAAAATGATCACTTCATCCAGGACCCAGCAGTCCTCAGAGAGAGAGCCGAGGCCAGGAGAGCTGCTATGCAAAGCAGGAAAGGGTAAATTTGAGAACACCATGACTGGAATATAGGGATGTAACGATGCACCCCGAAACAGTTAAAAATCAATTAAAACATGTGTTGATTCAAGTTGGTAGAGATGCTAAATGAATCGCGATACAGTTTGTGGCAGGGGTTTATATGAATGTATCTCTGAGGGGAACTGACTGTTTTCAGAAAAATTTAGATGGTATTTTCTTTTCAGCTAAAGTCAGACCATTCTGTTTTTGTTTCATGTTTTGAAATTATACAATCTAATTTAAATCAAAAGCTGCTCATGCTGCATGTATGTATCTTTGTTGGGATTGTGATTAAAATGCAGTGGTTGCCTCTAATTTTAAGTAGCTACAGCTATATCAGCTTGTAATAGAGCAAATAAACATCTTGTTCATGTACTTATATGAAGAGATTTATTTTATTTATATTATTCATTTGATTTAGGATTTGTTTTAAAATTTCAATTTAGTTTTAACATAAAATATATTTCAATTTCACAAGGAAATATGCAGCATTTTGTCTGAGAAATAATAAAAAGACACTTTCTCATTTATAATTTGCCTTAAATCTTATCATGAAACCAGTATGGTGAATCGTATCGCTTTGTGAGTTGAGTGAATCGTTACATACCTACTGGAATATAGTTACACTGCACATGTACACTGGTTATTATCTAACTAACCTAAAAACATTTATCAGTCAGTCATTAATTGATTTGACTTGGTTTTTCCTGATAGCTACAGACCACCACCAGCAAGTAATGTGGTAGGTGGGCCAAAGGGACGGGGCCAGACACAGGAGATCATTTTGGACCGTCGCAGAAAAGAAGCGAATAAGAACAGAGGAGCCAATCACAATCGCAGAATGATGGCTGACAGGAAGAGGAACAAGGGCATGATCCCTTCCTAAGACTTTTACATTAACAACAGCACAATGCACATTCTTTGAGAGCTAAAAGCAGAAATAGCACCTGAAGTTTAATGTAGCTCCTCACTTATACAAGTTCGATATGCATTGAAATGACACTCTGGTCTATTACGTAGACCTATTATTCTTTCAGATTGAAAATTCTTTTTTTTTTTTTTCCTGAAGTTTGAATCAACGGGCTGAGTTTGAAGTGCTTAGTAAAATGCACAGGGATGTGTTTCTATAAGGGATCAAGATAATCTTTATTATTAATTTTTTTAAATGTTCTCTTTGCTAGTGATAGTCAACATAATGTGACAAGAAAACTTGTAAGGCAA